TATTGATGAAAAATCTCTCTACTTACTCCTTATGGAACTCCCTTAGGCAACAAAACCCCATCTAGAGCTTTGTGATTTTACTTGTCTCAAAATGCTCTTGACACTGTACTAATTTCTCCTTTGTCAGTCTCTTTAACTTTGTCAGTTCCTTTAAAAATATAATTCAGTACTGGAGAAAACAAGAAATACACACATGAAGATACCAGGATTTTTTATACTAAACGTGTTGTATATTTTAGCGAACTTTTTGCTTTAGTGTAATTGAATTATCCAGTATAAAATCACTAATAAGGTATCACTTTAAGAGCACATTTTGTTCACATTCAAGTATCTGAGATAACAATTAAGTAGCATGGAGATACCTTGCTGCTGACATCAACATAAGGAGAAACCAGCTCCTCTACCCTTTCCTTTGTCAAAGTGATGATCATGAACTTAATTTGGTCCTTTTGACTAAAGTATAATTGTTGCATTTTAAATAATGACATAAATTAATTTCTTAAAAACACATTTTAAAAAGGGCCGTGAGGTCCAGAACGTATTTGCTAGCAGGACAAAACTTCACTTGATTGCGTGAAACACCAGCACATGACACCTTCCCACCTCCCCTTGAATTCTCTGTAACTGAACCAAAAGTCAAGGAAATGACTTTTTTCTTTTTTTAATGACTGCATTTATGTTAAGTCAGTAACTACAAGGCAGAACATATTTAAGGTTTTTAAGCAGAAGTATTAGGAGTAGTCAAATGATGAATAGAAGGACTGCATTTTTGCACTAACAATCCCTAGACTTCTTTTCGCAGAGAGGTATTACAGAAATGTAAAACCAGTATCTATGTACATCTTAGTTTTCAGTTCTGCTCTACATATATGCAATAGCTGTGCTTCCTAGGAAAAACTAAGCAATTGTATTTGAAAAGGAGAAAACACCACTACTAAGAGGAATGGGTAACAACCTCCCAAGGCGTTAGGGCAAGTGTCATCATAGCACAGCCTTGCTCCTCCAGGTCAGCTCAAGTCTCTGCACGTTAATGTGCGGTTATATATAAATGAGCTGTGAGTCAAGAGGTTGGGTCATTAAGCAATCAGCAGAAACTTCAGCTTACCTTTAGATAACAGTATAGAGCTCTCTCCAGCACAAACACACACTCCCTCAGACACTCACTATGCAGAGGTACAAAAAGGTAAAGGGATGACTCGTACTTATGAGTCAAAGGAACAAACCTACCACCGTGAAACAACTTCAAGTGGAAGGGAGAATTTGTGAGAAGCTACATTTTGCTGTTTAATGTAATTTCCCAGTTCACTGTCCACTTACCTGTGCACAAAGTTGCACGTTCCATCAACAGGGTCAATAATCCAGGTCGGACTGTCAGTGAGGACACATTTTGAACCAGCAGCAGTGGATTCTTCTGCAATAAACCTGCATTTGGTGTGAAGTAAAACAGGTGTCCCAGAAAACTGGCTTAGATATGTGACTTAAAAAGTCAAATTCCATGTTCGCAGTTTTGAAGAGATACTTAAGTGTATATATATATACATAAAAGTTTTGTACATTTGTATACAGATGTATAAAGACATATTGCTTTTTTTATTTGGGAATGAGGAACTTTCACAGATATTCTGAAAGAAATGTATAACATACTATTTTACATGGTATAAAAGAGCTCAATCTGTGTTCACTTTCCCAATATACCATTAAGAAAATCATGAAACTGAAAGCAGACATCCCTGAAGTCTAAAAGTTTTTTTATGCAGAATGTAATTTTATGGGTTAAGCCTGTCTCTTGCAGTAAGTAATATAAACTGGAAACTGTCGTTGCTTCTCCTTTGCAGTCAAATTCAGTCAGCGGGAAATAATGCACTCTTAGAAAATCCACACTCTCACTCCTACTTGCATTTTCTACAGAAGTCTGACTCAGGAAATTAAAAGGTTCACAAAGCTGATCTTTCTTTTTCCCATGACCCAGAGAAAATCAACAAATCAATTTTTTTTGTTTGTTGTTCAGATGCAAAAGCACACAGTGAAGTCTGAGTTAATCTACTCTGTTGTTATGTCCCAATTTCTTTTAGTAGGAATATGCTCCCCCCCCCTTCTTTTTCCCTGGGAAATGAACATCCAGTTCTAGCACATTTCCTGCTGACCTTAATTATCCCAGCTCTCCCATAAACTGCTCAGGGTCTCTTTCTATCAGTGGTGTGCAGGTGCTAGTCTCACAGAAGTCCTGCATGTACAGAAGGTGTAGAATGAGACTGACAGTACTAAAACTTGCTTCTGATTTCACATGTGAACAACTGGAAGTGGTATTCTGAGTTCCTGCAAACACTTGAAGACAAAAAACTTCTCTCGAAGACACAAATTGGACAAAGAGTTGGGTAAAATAAAAGAGAAAATGTCTTTTGCAGGAACAGTTTCTTCCCTAGGGCTAGGGTAGCAGCTATTTTGTGTCCTCACCATGCACTAGCTGAAGTCACATACTCTTGCAATCACAAGCTTAAAATGTTCTGCAGACATCAGAAGCAGAGACTTGAATTTTCCAAATGCTACTCTGTCTTTTCCTCAGTCGAAATGGACTATTTTCATGGCATTGTGGGTCTCCAGTTGGTATCATGAGGGAAGTAGGAAGTGTTTGTTACTATTTTAATCGTCATTAAAGATACCAGCTGAAGGACAAAGTGCTAGTGTGCAACAAGAAAGATTTGAACAAATGTTTGGAGTTCTCAGTTAAGCATAACACTTTGCAGACTCCTTGCTCTAAATATTCCATTATTTTGTCTTGTTGGCGCTGTATCATTTGACTTCTGCTTTTACACGTCTTGTAATTACCACCTAAATACAACTGTATACTTTGTACTGCAGGCTGCAGAGGAAGCTCATCTTCTTGCAGACAGAGCATCTTATATCCCATCTCAGATTGTCCAACTTCCCTATAAGTTATGTCTCTGCTTCAACCCTCTGCCAGCTCCCTCAACCAGAGCCTGAACTGTAGCCATTGTCTTGCCAGTCAAAGAAAGGTGAAATGGGAACCTCTTCAAAGACAAGAGCATTTCCATGTAAGGTGTTTTGTCCTTAATTATCTTAAGTCTGTCCCTCATCTTTCCCTCATCTTTTCCTTACAACAGGATGTGATGCTGCAGTCCTCGTGTACATAAATTCTAATGTGAAGCCAAGGCACAACAGTGCCAGGCATTGATAAAGTCTCAGTATCCGAGAAATTTTTTTTCCAAAATGGATTTAGGACAAATTAGGTGCACATTTTATGAAATTCGGGCTAGTGGGTTAAAATAAGAGTCTTGCTATTATACAATACTGGGAACTGTGAGAGTCCCTTACATTAGATGATCAACATTAGACGTGTTGCTCTATAGCTCTCTGTCCTGTATAAAGATGCAAACTAAGCAAAGCATTCGATGCACAAGAGATCAAACTTAGGAACAGCTGGAGAAGTGAGAGGGGTAGCTATGTCATTACAGTAGTTAATTTAATATGCCAGCCTGCCAGTTCTGTTGACTTCTCTTCAAAACTGGATTATAGTTTTCTCCCACTGAAAATGAGTCCAGTAATTTTAGCCAAGTCTTAGCTTACATCTGTTCATACCACAGGACACTCTAAAATTCATTGCTGTAACAGCAGGGAAACTCTAGCAGAGCATAAACTGCAGCAGGAGTGATATGCAGTCTAGTGCAGGAGGTTCAAACCAGGCCTATCCCTCACCTATGCCCTTATGGGGGTCTGAGGGAAGAAAGGGAAGCTAGAGTTAGATGTCACCCTCTGTAATGACTGTGTCCTCGTTTTAATTTCCACATGGTTAATACCACGATTAAGACCAAAGATGACAACTTGTGTAACAATAACACAGGCAAATGGTTTGATAGCCGTTTTCAGCTAGGAGCCCTGATATTCTGGCTGTGCCTATCCACAGCTCAGAAGATCTATCAGAAAAAATATTCTTTTGAAAAGACTCACTTAGAGCACATCAGAGTACCAAAGAGTGGGCAGAGATGAAAACTTAGGTGAAGGGTAAATGAGGATGATACATATCACTTAGCCAAGAAGAGGGAAGAAAGAGACACTGGACAGAATTACCTTTTTAACAGGTTTTCCTAGCATTTCTTTCTTCTTCTGAGTACATTACCAGTAACTCAAGACTCACCACTGACACAGTGCAAATGGCACAGACCCTAGTGAGATCCCTTTTAATTTTTCTAATGCCTAACTACATTTTTTGATTCAGAGAACATAAGAATCAAGATGATTTAAGAGAAAATGAAATAACAGAAATCTTCAGTGATGCAGTCAGCAGCCAGATTAGGAGAAAGACTCAACACAGCTTAAGTGATGCTTTAATATCTTCATGACACTTTAATTTAAATCTTGATTGCTATTGTGGACTCCTCACTGCAAGTATTTTAATCTAGTCCAGTTAAATAGTTTTAATCTATCTTTTAATCTAAATGCATTCACTGTCTGAACAAACTCCAACCAAAACCAACAACCATTATCAGCAAAAAATAATTGTCTTGAGGAACTGACAATTCCTTAATGTGCTTATAAAGTCAGAAGTTAACTGTACAGAGTTAATAAAGTCAGGGATTTTTCAGCTCCTAGGTTTATGTTGACCTTACAACTTTTGTTCCCATTCTGAGCAACTCAAGACCTCGTGATGATTCTTGTTTCATGTGAAATGTATATGTTTTATGCTCTCTGCCAAATTGTTCGAGGAAAAAAAACCCAGGAAACCTAACAACATAAGAGTGGAGATGAGAAAAGAGCGCAGCCAGCAATAGTAGAAGGAATATTACACAAATAATAGGCTTATAAGGCCTGGCACTCTCCTGAGAATCATGGCCAAGAACCACACATTATGCTGTACATTACTGTTTCAGCATGTGGTCACATACAACATGTATTTAGAAAGCCATTTTTAGTATATAATGTTCTTTTTGCTCCTTCTTACAGTGTCTTTTTGGGTTTTGTTTGTTTGTTTGTTTGTTTTCCAGCAGCATCACCGACAATCAGATTAGTAGCTGAGCCTCCAGATTTTCATCTTTGTTGATTTCTGAACAGCATTTGTGTACCAGGCTCATCTCCATCAGAGATATACACAGTTAGAAGGAAGTCATACAGTATTTGAGTGATACACACGCTCTGCAGTAAGATGAATTTTCTCCTTGTGGACTGAAGGCAAATGTGGAAATTGATTGCAAAGTCTTTGCATCAAACCAAACCCTGCCAACTAATATAAAACGTCTCTTTAATCTGTGCATGCACTAGTTCTTATTTTCACATTGACCATAATAATTCAAGAGGAATCAACAATCTATTTTTAAAACCTTGGGTCGACATCCCATATATTAATTTATAACCTGTTTATGTATATGCATCAAATGATGATGATAAACAACCCTGCTTCTCACTGATTTTAGGAGTCAATGCAACATAAGATAAATGTGATTAAATACGATACTTTTCCTGACCTGGCAAATGCTTATGTATGATGGCAAAAGAAAGTGAAGGAAAGGTTTGCAGAATGGGACCTTTGCTAACATCAATTTCAGCTATATTTTAATAGATATCCCTAGTATAATTTTTATACAATAGATCAGTATCCTGAAAATGATGGAGATCCATATGGAACCTTCATATGTGATATCCTGACAGGGGAAATATTACTATTAAATACATATATTAAGAAAGGTAACTATGAAAAAATATAAAGTACTAAGTTCAGGGAAGTGGTACTTTTTTAAAAAAGGAGTCCTATGAAAGTGTCCAGCAGCAACAGGTTCATATGTAAGAGAGATATATTGACTTCTGAAATACCCTTTAAATGACAGTCATATACAGAGCTCTTAAAGGAAAAAGGTATTTTATTCTTTCTGTAGGCACTTACCTGTGGGATGGAAACTTCTCTTTCAGAACAGAAATAATTAGATTTTCCACAAAATGATCAGTTTCTGTCACAAGATCTGCTGCAGATGTCTTTGTGGACACTTGTTTTTCCTCTTTTAGAGCTTTCTTAATGATCTGAAACAAAAGTTCACAAATCAGATTTGTTGGCTGTTCATCCTGTACACACTAAAATTATGTATTTACTGAAATACTACAGCTAATCCTGAATAACAGCTGTACTAATTCTACCAGAGCCTGTTCTGATTCTTCTGACTAAGAATCCTTCTGAGCTAATCGGTAGCCTTGGGGAACACAGCATTTTGACTCACTTTGCAAGAACCTCTCTTGACAGTTCAGAAAAGGATTGGTGAATGGGATGCAACTGATAGAATAAAGGATGATGGCAGTCATCGTGATTTAGGAAATTACAAAAAAATACACATAAGATAAAAAAGAGTCTCAAGGCTCAGGAATTTTTCATTTTCCCTTTTTTTTTCTTCCCTTTTCTTTCTTTCTTTCTAATTTACAGGGCCAATGCCTCACTGCTCTCTTACTTTTAAAAATCCATGCAATAATGCAAACCCCAATGGTTTATTTTATTGCCAACAAAGACACATGAAGTTTATTTTTTTTGTCTATATGTTTTTTTTTGGACTTCAAGAGCTGGCTCGCTAGTTCCCACCCAAATAATTGCTATATACTTAACAAAAATGAAAATGTAGACTTTTCCCTTGATATGGAACCAGTGACCTAACCCTGGATTCTCTTCTGGAAAAGTCTTTATCTTGTTTTCAAGGCTTTTACTGTTATAAACACAGAACTAAGCCCCATCAAGTGCAAATGCACATATGGGAAAGCAGTTAATAAAAGCTTTTTCCCAAATTTCCCATTTTCTTTCTGTTTTTTTCCACTCCTTCATTAAAAAAGAAAAATAAGGGGCAAGATGCAAAAGAAGCTCACTTTCTTTTTTTAACCAGTGAAAATTATAAACTATTTGAAATAAGAGAAAACAAAACAAAGCAAAAATTAAGCACCACTTATTTGTACAGAATTATGTTAACTAAAACCAGCACCAACAAAACCAACATTCTAATTTATTTCTAAAACTATATGTTTCAATTACTTAACTAAATTTCTATTGATTAGTTTAAAATCACTGAGAAACATTTGATGACCAAAGAGTTCTGCTGTATTATGCATAGGGAAGGGAAAAGGCTACCCCCAAATTTCAGTATCAGCTCTTGGTTTTGTAGTATAAAATTCTACATTTGGAGGATGTGCTGATTGTTCTGATAAGCAATGGATATTTCTGACCACTGCCTTAGTAAGGAAGGTTGCTGGACTTACGTTTCTGCTTCGTGAGCTGTAAAATATCAGTTATGACTATATACTGAGCTTGTGAGGGCAGCTTAATACTTTTCAGTTTGAGGTCTTGCTAAAGTTCATTATTGTGTATAAGAATACTAAACACACTTACTCTTTTTAGTTCCCTGAAAGCTCTACATAGTTTTCTTGACATTTTTACCATGGAAGCATAAAAGCATAGTTCTAGGAGCACCTTTGGTCCTCTTTGCTTCAAAGTAAAATCCCAAACACTCCAACCATTTCAGTTGTGTTTTCTAAAAATACTCCACCATGCTGATCCCTTTTATTTGACTGTTCTTTACTTTTATATTGCCATATGTAAGCAAATGCCCTAGCACTGGGCTTAGAACTTTGCATTGTGAAATAGATGAGGAATCTATCTCCTTTTGATAGAGAGGATTTGAATTTCTTCTCAGCAGTACCATTTTCTTGACTTCTACTCAGTTTTAACACATAGCACATTGAGGACTTTATTGCAGCCACCGTTCAGCAGGGGAGTGAGATCACACCTGAGCTTTGCTGCAAAAAGAAGAGCTGAGGTAAAAGCTCTCTCCTATGAATGTGCTCTGCAATCAGTCGCTTTTCATCGTGTGCTCTGGCATTTGATCTATCCTTTCTGAACCAATCCTTTGCATCTCTAGGCACCCAATTTAGTATTTTTCATTTCTGCCAGGGTCCCCCACAAAGATCAAGTTTCCTCCATCACTGATGAATCAATTTTTATTCTTTATAAATTTATCAAATAGCTCAGAACAGTCCGTAATTCAGCTTATGTTGAATAATTCCTAAAACTCATCTCCCTACAAGGGAGTTAGAGACTGGTGCCTCAGAGTACTTTGAAAGCATCACTCAGCTCCTCTCACTGAACCATAGAACTCTAGAATCTTAGAACAGCTTGGGTTGGAAGTGATCTTAAAGCTCATCCAGTTCCAACCCCCCTGCCATGGGCAGCGACACCTTCCACTAGACCAGGCTGCTCAAAGCCCCACACAACCTGGCCTTGAACACTGCCATGATGGGGCAGCCACAGTTTCTCTGGGCAACCTGTGACAGTATCTCATCCTTGCAGAAGCCTTATGATTGCCTAGTCTTCCCATCTGGGCATGGAGCTTCATGAAAGTCTCTCTAGGTAACAGGCAGTAGGTAAGTGGAAGACCAAAGGAACTACAGCTTGTTGAAATGAAGACAGTCTATTGCGCAATGAAATTGGCAACCAAGATGCTATATTTTGGCTGTAAATGTATTTTATTAGGCTTTATCACTTCATTATAGGTTGTCCCCAGATTATGACCATTTTACAGCAATTTCTAAGCAGTTGATTTTTGGGAGGTGGTTATTTAGAGCAGAGTTATTTACCACTTTTAGTCCATGCTGCCCCTGCTCTAATAAAGAATTGGCTAGATCTTATCCTAATATCCTTCCTGGGAGCATTTGTGGGGTTATACAAAGTGAGAGGCATTTATACCAGTACATGCATGAAGACCACATCACAGAGCAAGACCCAGGTTGTCCCTGCTCCCTTCTTCATTTGCCATAGAGCAGGGAAAATGGAGCCACAGGGGCTCAGTGCAGTCACAATACTGGACTCTTCCTTTCCTAATGCCTTTGTGAAATCAAGCCATATAAAGGAGAATGCAGAGGACAGAGGGACTTCTACTCCAATACCTGCCAGGAGAGCAAGCTACAGTGTGGTGCTCATGTTAGATTTCATCTCACCGTACTGCTTGCACTCACCATGCACTTGTAGGAGCTCCAAGATGGGTTTACTTGATTGCAATATTGTCCTGAAATATTTGCTCACTGATAAAATCAAACATCTAGATTAAAAGCACAATTACCTGCAAATAATTTAGGAAATACCAAACTGGTTTGCTAAAAAATATGTCCATATGCCATGGAAAAGAGCCTACCAATATTATCTGGAAGCAAACATGATGGGAAAGATCTTGGCTTTTTAGAATCTCAGTGGAAAGTTAGCCTTTTATTTCAGTGGTATTCTGTTAGGTTTCTTGTGCCTCATAAAATTCTCTTCTGGGAGAAAAAAAAGCGAGAGAAAAAAAGTGAGAAAGTAGTTTGTGTGGACTTCAACGTTAGGTTCTAGTATCAGTTTCTTACCCTTGTTTTCACCTGGATGCATATCTGCTCATTTTGGTGAAGTTTCTCCAACTGTAACTGCAGAGAACTGTGCAAATATTATTCAGTGCTCTCAATAGCATCAAAGATGCAGAGACTACTTGTGCCTGCTTTTCTTTAGCAAAAAGTTGTATTAAGCCAGCAGTCATCCTCTCAGGAACATAGCAAACAGTTCACTCACAGGAAAAGCAGAGGAAAGGATCAAGAAAGTGCAGTTGCATGAGGCCTTAAAGGGCAAATTGGACAAAATTTTAATGCAGGTCAATTACACAGATTACAAACCCCTGGCCATTCTCATTAAGAAACAGCCATATATATTAAAAGAGAGCCTATGATATTTCATAAAAGTAATGGAACTAAGTAATAGAATGGGCAAGATAAGCAGCGACTTTAGCCTGGGAATAGAAGTTACTCCAGCAACATCACTTCTGATGCGTATTCAAGCAATTATTTCTGTATTAGCCTTTTAAATTTAGAAGAAACTATTCCAGAACATAGATGCCTATCTTATGGAAAGAAGATATATTTTACTCCTACTAGTGAAATGTGATGATAAGTTAATATAATTGCCTTTCTGGAGAGACCAGAAAACTGTATTATTGGTTAACTTTTCCTAGAAATCCAGATCTTGACTTGAATGCCTTTCTTCAGGTTGGCCTCTGTGCCATGACTCTTGTACACACTTTCTAATGATTCCAAGGCCTCCTAACCTGCCCTGGTTCTGAGAAACTGAGGGCCTTAGAAGAAAGACTGAAGTGGCAAAATATCAAGTAGGGATGGAGACAGAAGCTCCAGAGAGGGCCATGAAGATGATCAGTGGGCTGGAGCACCTCTGCTGTGAAAGAGGCTGAGAGAGTTGGGCTTGTTC